TGTGATTGATCTAAAGCACATGTGTCAAACACAAGGCCCGCGGGCCAAATCCGTCCCGCCAGGCCTTGCAATGTGGCCCGCACCGCGCTGTCATCACTGCACTCCGCTGCGTTTCCATCACAATGACAGTTTATGACTGTTCAGTAAACCATTCGGCCCAAGATTTAGGCTGGATTTTAGATTTTGGCCCCTTCTCTGATTGAGTTCGACACCCCTAAATTCTAAAGAGTTGTAGATTGCCAAATTACCTGCTCCATCTTCTCCTTTTTCAGGTTAGACACAGTTATATTTAAGATGAATAAAATCATTTACTAAACAGTGTTCAAGTGTAGTGGGATGCCTGGGTATTCCAACACCCCTTTTTTCTCACCACTGGTCTTTTAATTAATAAAATAAAAAAAAGAAAATCTAGATGTTTTAAGGAGGTAGTTTCATTTTGAGTTTCAGTAAGATTTCATTACAGACTGGAAAGAAGACATGTAATTCTACTTGTACCACTGACTTTGCAAATAAAGACATCCCATATTACTAATATTTCCCTCCCCACACACCCCAAACATGACAGTGCCTTGTGTGTACACATGTAGTCCATGTTGCCTTGTGTGTACACATTTAACCTGTGGCCTCTCCCTTTGTGAGTGCATTTGGTCATTCCACAAATACTGCACATCTACCAGGGTGTTATGGTTGTGCCCAGTTTAGGGCTATAATGAAGAACAGGATACATAGGTGCTGTCCTCATGGAGCATATGTTTTTATTCTTATTTCTTACTATTTTTGTCTTGAGTTGTATGTCAGTGTTTCAGTGATTCAATTAAAGATTCTTATTTCCCATCTCTATTTACAGAATCGTTCTCTCTCATCTGAAATACAGTGTGTCTAAGTCTCAGTGAATGGTTTTAATGCTTTGGGAGTGGTTGCATTCCATTCAGATGAAATCCAAGCTAGGCAAGTAATACTTACAAGCATACACATGAGAATATGTTATGAAGAGGAACATCCTCATATTTAGTTACTTCCTTGCCAGTAAGGGAGGTTTTTGGCAGAGACTTATGTTACCTTGAGCCTGATTGAAGAGTTCAAATATGGTCTCTTAAAGGCTACAATCCACCTTATTCTATTAAATGAGGCCCAGCCATTGGAATGACCAGGTTAATCAAATACCTTTTGGATAGTCCATGACTTTAAAATTCTGCTCTTGTGTTATTTATAAAAACTGTGATTCATGTTGGCTTTAGGTTATAAATGAGATACTTTTCCTATCTGTAAATTGGCTGACTTATTTGTAGTGTGGCTTAAATGTAATGTGCCCAAACACAAATGTGCCTAAAATAGGATCTAAACTGTGTTAGTTAAAAACATAAAAAATAAAAATTAGTTAAACATTCTGAGTTGAAGATTTAATTTTGAATTAATTTTCTTTTTTGTTACCCAATAGTCTTTAATATTTTGTTTGTTGTGAGTAGGTTCATATATGATAGGTTGTAGATAGATCAGCCATATTTTAAGAAGTTTATTATAACACATACCGCTTACTCAGCAGAGGGCATGTTTTATCTTCTTCACTAATACTTACTAATTAAGTCTTCATCATATTATTAGGTAATATTATTAGTCCTATTTTACAGATGGTGGAACTGAGAAATAGAATGGCTAGATTTTTCTGCCCAAAGCCATACACTTAATAGGCAGCATAGTCAGGATTCAAAACCAGTCCATCTGCCACCAGAGGCTGTGCTGTTAGCCACTACATGGTTTTATATTATAGTTAATCAATTACTCTTCCTTATAACACAATAATGACATTGAACTGAGATTTTCCTATCTTTGAGAAAGTAGTATGGGAAAGGAAGTAACAGAAGTTTTGGTAGAAGAAAAAACTGGACCTAGAGTCAGAAGATTTGAGTTCTAGTATTACCAACACAAGCTGGGTAATTTAGGGGAAGGCAACTATGTATTTTAGTTTTCTATTGTTATTATAAGAAATTACAACAAATTGAGTGGCATAAAACAATACAAATTTAGTTCTGAAGGGGAGAAGTTTAAAGCCAAGGTGCTGGCAGGGCTGCATTCCTCCTGGAAACTGTGGGGAGAAATCAGTTCTTTGCCTTTTCCAGCCTCTGGAGGCCCAGCATTCCTGGGCTCATGGTCCCTTCTTCCATCTTCAAAGGGCATTGCTCCAACCTCTGGTTCTGCTGTTACACCTCCTTTTACCGCCTTCTACCCTCGACCATCCTTCTTATAAGGTCCCTCATAACTATTGATACATTCTGCTCACTTAGATAATATAAGATAATCTTCCCATCCCCAAATCCTCAATTTAAACACATTTTAAAAAATCCCTTTTGCCATATTAACAAATTCTGGGGGTGGAACATGGTCATCTCTGGAAGGCCTTTGTTCTGTCTACCACCGTTTCTTTATTTCTATGGAACGCAGTTTTCTCACTTGTACATAAAGGAGTTGAACTCCGTGATCTCTGAGGATACGTCTGTTCTGAGAACACTGACCTTTCTAATCCTACCCAGAATTCTTATTGCCTTCATCAGAAGCAGAGCTTCCACTCTGGAAATCTTGTTTGCAGATGCTAAATGTTTGTTTTTTTAAAAATATATTTTTATTGATTTTTTTACAGAAAGGAAGGGAGAGAGACAGAGAACCAGAAACGTCGATGAGAGAGAAACATCGACCAGCTGCCTCTTGCACACTCCCTACTGGGGATGTGCCCGCAACCAACGTACATGCCCTTGACCGGAATCGAACCTGGGACCTCTCAGTCCGCAGACCGACGCTCTACCACTGAGCTAAACCGGTTTCGGCTGGATACAAAATATTTTTTATATTATATTTTAATGTTAAATTAAGGAGGAAAAGGTGACAGGATAAATGGAAATGAGTAACAGGGAGAAAGACACCAAGGTGCTCAGATCTGTGAGAGACGATATTCGTTAGCGTTATTGTAGCCAAACTTTGGGACCTACATTGAGGTGGAGAGTTCTTGGTAGATTTTAGTAGTGCACTGTCTGCTTAGAACCCTTTTATTAGAGAGTAAAAACCATCAGCGAAGCTCTATTATTAGGTTGCATCTGTCCATAAATTTTACCAAAGCTTCCACTACAAATGACTTCATAAGGGCATTTATGATTTTATTTCACATAATAAGCAAACGGAGTTGATAACAATTAAGCAGCTCTGCAATTCCATTAGGGACTCCTATTCCTGCCACTGCTCTGCTCTGCCATCTTTAGTTGGTAGGCTTTGTCCTTAGACTGGCTCCCCTCACAAAGTGGCTGCAGAATTTCCATCACCTTCTAAACCAACATTTCCAAAGATAGAAGAGAGATCATGTCTTGTGTAACTTTTTTTTAGGAATGAGGAAGTCTTTTCCAAAAGCCATTTGACAGATTTTTTCATTTGTTTTATTGCCCGGAATTCCCTTACATGCCCATTTTAAAATCCGTTTTGGGCGAGGAGAATAGAATCACTATGTTTGACCACTGTCCAGTAGAACTTCCCTAGTGATGGGAATGTTTTGCATCTGTGCGGTCTACTCTAGTAGGCACTAGCCACACCTGGCAATTATTGAGCACTTGAAATGTGGCTAGTGCAGGAAATGAGGTTTTAAAATTAATTTAAACTTAAGTAACTTGTGTGTGGCTGGTGGATAGCATATTGGACCACATTGGACCAGATCAGTCATTTGGGACAGAATGGACGTTGGGTAGTACGCTAACTACCATGTTCATTACATCTTTAAATAAAACCACTGTGTGTTTGACTTTAAAACTTAAATCTAATTACTGATCCACCTGGGGAGCGTTTTTGGAGACCAACCAACCAGCCAAATACTTAAAATCAGTGCATGTGTTTACAAGGGCTGACAGTGGCAGAATCTCGGGTATCCTGGTCTATGAGCATGTGTGACCTTGTGGCATAGTTAACCAAGAGCGGAGGTCGGGCTGGGATAGAATTGGCTGGGAACTCGGCTGGTGAGTGCCAGGCTGCTCTTCTCCGTTAGGAAGCTGGTTGGTTTTGCAGTAATGTAAGCAGGGGGTGACAGTCTGATTAATACATAATGCTAAAGCCTGCCTGCCTCGGAGATTGTACCGGTGGGGAAATAGTATCTGGCAGGATTCATTCAGACAGTAAATATTTAAAACTCACTTGCTTTGTGCCCAGAACTGTTCTAGGTCCTGAAAGATAGTAAAGGAGATTGAGTCCCTATCCTATGGGACTTAGTTGTTATAAACAACAACAACAAAAAGTAATACATTTTAAATTGTGATAAGTGTTAAGAAGAAAATAATGCAACTTAATAGGAGAGAGTGAATGCAGTAAATCTTAACAGATGCCTAGGTCTGTGACTTTCTTGTCACATGCTCGGGGTTTGTAAATTTTTCCTCTGGGAAGAGGGCATTTGGTTTATAGGGTTATTTTAGTTTTACAAAAAATAAAAGGGCTCTGTTTGGATTAGCTCATTGTCAATAGAAAGAAAAATTAAATTTGTCCCTGAGAAGGCAGTTTATTTTTCTGTTTAAAAATTAACTTTTGCCTGCTAGGGTGAGCCTTGCAAGGCACAATAATAGGATGAAGTTTATTTCCATTTTGATCATACTCTATAGCCTTTGCATTATTGGGAGAACTTTGGCCATTTTAAGTAAACTTCTGGGCCCCAGCTTTCTCAACCACAAAATGGGATTATGATTAATAATTACACATTTTCATTAAGATTGAGCAAGTTGCCGGAACCAGTTTGGCTCAGTGTATAGAGCGTCCGTCTGGGGACTGAAGGGTCCCAGGTTCGATTCCGGTCAAGGGCATGTACCTTGGTTGCGGGCACATCCCTAGTGGGGGGTGTGCAAGAGGCAACTGATCGATGTTTCTCTCTCATCGATGTTTCTAGCTCTCTATCCCTCTCTCTTCTTCTCTGTAAAAACTCAATAAAATATATTTTAAAAAAAGAAAAAAAAAGAAAAAGATTTTGAGCAAGTCATTTTAATCTCTCTGGGTCTTAGACTTTTTAGTGTTAAAACATAGTATTCATAATATTGTTAAGAATGTTAGTAAACAGATCCCTTTTAGTGCTGGTACAGATAGAAGTTGGTAAACTTTCTGGACAGCCAGTTTGCAGAATAATTACAGATTCTTTTGAAAACGTGAATAACTTTTCCCCCAAAGAACAGAAATGAATAAGTGTTCACAGGTGCATGTCTAAGGATGTTCTTTATACCTTTGTTTATAATGTCAAAGGACAGTAAACAAATGTTGAGCTACAGGAATCTGATTCAATTATGGTGCATTCCATATGGAATTCTATGCAACTACGAAAGATGATGATAGTGTTAATAGATATTAATGGAATTGGAAAGAAGTTTACAGTGTACTAGCATTTGTGGCAATTTATGCCTCTTCATTTCCGAGTACTATAATCAGGGGTAGTAATTAGAGTCACTTAAAAAAAAAATCTAGCAATATTGGCAGATAATAGTTGAGTACTACAGTGCTCCAAGTACTACGCTAAGCTTTGTCTTATCTGGAAGTTTCATATCAACCCCATTGAATAAGAACAATTTGGAACCTCATTTTGCAGATGAAGAAACCAAGGGACAGAGAAATAAAGTAACTTGCAGAGATGGCAGAGTAAGAATTTGTATCCAGGCATCTGATCTGGAGCCTACATTCCGAAACCTTCAACCTGACTGCCTCTCTGTAAACTGTCTTCAAGTTTTCAGGTTTTATAATACATGGGATCACATTACAGGTATATGGTGCAAACTCCTTCACCTCCTTTCCTGCTGTAACTGCCCTATTAGTTGAGAGTACTTTGGCCCAGTGTGTGGCAGAGAAGGGGTGGTCCACTCTAAAACAGAGGCCAGCTAACTATGGTCCATGGGCCACAGCCAGATGCTGCCTGTTTTTGTAAATCAACTGTTACTGCCTACAGCCATGCTTATTGGTTAGGTATTGTCTATGGCTGCTTTTGCAGAAATGAGTAGTTTCAACAGAGACCATATGGCCTGCAAAGCATAAAATTTGTATTATCTTGTCCTTTGTAGAAGAAGTTTGCTGAGCCCTGCCTCAGTACATTAGGAGTCTGGAAGTTATGTTTGCCCGATTAAGGTGACCACTTTTCTTTCTTTAAAGGGAATAATTTAAAAAACAAAACGAATCCATTTTAGGGTTCCTATCCTGCCCAAGTCCAGGCCACAAGCATACAGGCAGTTGCTGATGGGTTTCTGAGCCGAACAAGAGCAGCCTATTGCAGGACTACTGAAGGCCCTCTGTGCAGGGCAGACTGGCATTCTCTCACTGGGCTTCTTGGCCTTGAAGCTCTGCCTGTTGCTGCCCCTCTGAGATGGAATGTGTATTCACAGAAAATGAGGCACTCCATTAGTCATGGTGCATTTCCTGGGCCCTGGAGACAGGGGCATGACATCACCAAGGGCCAATGAGAAAGGATCCTCCAGCCTGCAAGCCCTCTGACCTCTTTAGAGGACTGTAGACTGTGTGTTCTGTTCCCGAGCCCTTGGGGTGTGATTTGAGACTGCCTTTCTCATCCAGCCATATTCTGGGCACAAAAGTCTCACTTCCAGACCCAAGGGGCCAGGGCAAGCTCGAAAATCTGCAGAGCTGGAGGCAGATTCCCATTTAGTATTTTTTTCCAGGGCTCAGGTTTGTATTCCCACAGTTTTCCACTCCTAATGACGTTGTTACTTCATGTGGTGAATAGTGGGTGGTGAAAGATGAAGTCTGCATGAGATAAAAGACACTTGGCAGTTAGAATTTCTGGATAAGTATAGGTTGGTAGCATAACGAAATCAGAAGCATATTTTGCCGTTTTGTTACATTGCTTTTGTGCGGAGTTTAACAAAATAAAACAACATCTTTTAGCAGCAAAGGCTGCTAGCAAAATTAGTGTGGCTTAGCGTAGGGCAATTACCAAAGGAACTTTACTGAGGGGATTAGTCGCTCATTAAATCTTTTATCCTCAAGAAGAAAAGACCCCCCCCCCCCCCGAAATTCTCTTTTCTTAAGATTTAAGAATGCATTTTGAATAAAAATCTCTCTTTCCTTTTCTACCTATTTATGAAAATGATTTGTGAAATTAAGTCTCAGGAATAATAACTTTGCTAATTCTAGGTATCAGAAAGTTTATTCAAAGACTTGTTTTCTAATTGGTCCTAGCTCGGTCTCTTGTTAACAAGCCATAATTATAAAACCCCCCTTTTAAAAATTACTTAAACAAACTGAGGCTCAAGACCCGATGTGAGATGACACTAGACAGATTTTCATAGTTTAATTAAAAGGGTGTGTCTCCCCATCTCATTGGCGATCTGTGATTGAATGCAAATAGTATTGGTTCATGTTTGCATCCTGTTCTGGTGAAGCCTAAGAGAAATTGGGAAAACAGCCGTTTTTGTTGGTACATTATCTGTGGCTGCCCTAAACCACAGAGGATGCCACCCCTACCGCTTGAGAGAGAGAGAGAGAGAGAGAGAGAGAGAGAGAGAGAGAGAGAGAGAAGAAAAGAAACTCCTTGTTGTTTCTGCAAGATGAAGATGGATATTTTTTTGTAATTTTACAAGTTTTTATTTTAAAAACATCACCTGAAGGCATATGAATTTCTTCCCAATTCTTAAGAACAAATACACCAGTAACTGAAGAAAGTTTTTCTAGAACTGTGCAATGTACTAAAAAGAGGGCACTTTGGAAATCCTCCTCAAAGATTTGTGCAATTCAAAAACCTTGGTTATGACAATTTCCAAGGGTCTCTTGGAAATCCTCTAAATGGCATTTTTCAAGCTTGTATAGATGGGGAGACTGAGGTACAGATGGGTGCTCTGCTGGGTGTTGTTCAGAGAAGCGGATATGGATGTGTAAGTCACCCTCATCAAAACCCTAAAGATGACATTCCTCTTTGTCTTAAAAAAAGTTCTTATTGATTTTTTTTTTTTAAGAGAGAGAGGAAGAGGGATGGAAACATTGATAAGAGAGACACATCTTTGATTGGCTACCTACTGCACTCCCCACCCTGGGGATGGAGCCCGCATCCCGGGCATGTTCTCTGATCAGGAATTGAACCCATGACCTCTTAGTTCCTGGGTCGATGCTCAACCACTGAGCCATACCAGCTGGCTCCTCTCTGTCTTAACATAAAATGGTCCTCGTTTTCCTTCAACTGCTTCAGGCTTTGCCTCATTAACAGCAGTGCTTGTTTTTCACAGCCCTTAGGTTGGGACAAAAGGTTGGTCTAGCCTCCCAGAACGGAGGGAGCCCTGAAAGGGGTCAGTTGTCTTGGGAGTAAAAGTAGGCTCTCAGAGCTGGCCTGCTGCCTCACCCTTGGCAGAGGACTTGCTTCTCCGCAACCCTACCCCCAGTTTTCCCCACCTGAACTAATATTTGCCACCTCTCGGAGGGTTGTCATGAAGAGTGATGAATTTCATGTTGATAAAATGTATGAACCTTGGGAAGAAAGGTCTTGTATGAGCACACCATTAGCATTGGCCCCATGATCCGTCGTAAGTTTCTTGAGTGGGCAGTGGGCTCCTGGGAGTAGGTTGACCGTTTTGGTGGGGACAGTGTCTTGAATGGGACCTGCTGCTGCTGCTTTGAGAATACACCGCTGGTTTGAAATGTTGAAATCCAGGTAGATCCTTAAAGCAGCTACACAGTATCGTCTCCTCCCTGCTCCTGTTGCCTGCGAATTCGGGGAGCAGCAGATGCCTCCCTCAGAAACCCTTCTGGAGTGCCAGCATACCATATTCATCGTCTCACTGAGCCCCCAACTTTTCCTGCAGAAAAGGCTAGCCCAGACTATGACAGCGAGAGGTCACGACAGGACTGGTTTATGTAAAGTTAAGGATGAGTCACGTCACTCCTAAAGGGATTGGCATCAATTTATTACATATTATATAATAGAATCAAACACTGCGAGAAGAAAGCCTTTAGCCTCATTAAGGAACCCAGACAAAAATCCCACTTAATCCATCTTACTTTTCCTTTTCCTCTAGCTCAGCTGGTGCGCAGGTGTAGGGCAGCTTGGCAGGAGCTTTGAACATTTGGAAAAGGGAGTCATTACTGAAAGTCACTGACACACACTTCCCTTGGAATGCTGCTGATGTCATGGAAAGCTGGGACCTTCTCAGTAACCCCTGACAACCAGAGCTACAGTAAATAGTAACTGTTACCTCCACCAAGGCATCGGTTTTTGAAGAGTTTTAACAGGCGAGGTCTTGCCAGCCACAACTCGTAAAAATGTTCTTATAATTTCACCCTACTCTCCCAACAGCACTGGGTGACTGCTGAGGTTTCTCTGCCACTTGGGGATGCACAGCCAACTTCATGTCAGCTTCAAGGTTCACTCATCAGAATTTACAGCACTTCTTTTCCAGTCCTTTTCGTACCCCCTGCCGTGCTCACCGGGTTCAGCCTGGTAGGCTTAATGCTTTTTCAAAGAAGTCTCTTGTCCTTCCGAATTGCCTCAATTGCTGGTGATTGGCTGAGTCTATGGGTTAGGTTTTGCCTAGTGTTTTATTAGCCTCGTGGTTAACCCAGTCTGGTTAATTGGTAGCCCTCAATCTATAGGTTATATGCTAACCAATTCGAAACAGTTGGGCCAAGTGACATCCTGTGGCTCAGCTTCCGAGCTAAGTGCATCGGGAGAAAGCAAGCAGCGCGTGCTGCCAACCGACCGTCAGGGAGGATGGTTGTCAGCAGTTTAGGAAAGCAAACGAACATACAGAAACCGAGGGATCAGGAGAAACTTCTCTCATGATTGGCTGCCTTTTAGGAGAAGTTGGTGCAGTTTCACCGTGTACACCAAATGCGGCATAGCTCCTTCTAGGCCCGCCCACAACAGGGAAGAAGCAGAATCTCGCGCTGCTTTTGCAATGCATTGTCAGGGTGACCATATAATATATCACCAAACGAGGATACTTTTGAGAAGGAAGGGGCTCTGCTAATTATTACTCTGGGAAAACAGGAATAAACCGGGAATGTCCCAGGCAAGGGAGCCATAGGGTCACCCTCCTCATTGTGCCTTTCGAGGGGTAGTCTTCACAGTGACAGAGAGGGTGCACCGACCCATTCGTGCAACCTGGGTTGTCTCAGTTACAAGAAAAGTCCACTCTTAGAACTAGTGGGCTAAGTAATGAAATATGTTACTGCAAGATATCCCTGGTCAAAATCTCAAAGTCAGCTTGAATTCACACTCTCAATTTACTAAATTTTGAACATTACTTTTATTTCTATCGATGAGTGATTCTTAAAATGTGGTCTGAGATCCCCGGGGGGTGGGGGGAGGGATCCCAGGAAATCTTTGCCAAGGGGGTGTGTGAGGTCAAACTATTGTCATCAGAACATTAAGACATCATTTGCCTTTTGTGTTTCCTCGTGAATGTGTTGTGGAGTTTTAAGGGGACATGGGAAGTATAACATGGGAAGATATTATAACACCTAGAATGAAAAACCAGCCACCAGATTGTAGCTCTCAGCTAGCAAGCCAGGTGTTAAAAGGATTTACAAGAATGTGAAATATTGCCACTCTTCCATTAAGCTTTTTTGTTTTAGAAAATATAATTCTCTTTATAAAAATACATCATTTTTGTTAAGATGTTATGTGTTTACTAGACTACTTTTAAAAAAATATATATATTTTATTGATTTTGTACAGAGAGGAGGGGAGAGAAATAGAGAGTTAGAA